ACATAAATTTCCATTCAATATACAGGGCTATGAATGTGGATTTTGCAAGGGTGTATAGAGAAGGAGGGTGGATTTTCATATTAGGGTGATATGTAAGATATATAATTGCTGTCTGTCGATTTGAAATGGTTAAATACTGTCGTGATCAGAGAAATATCTCATAGGGTGTTCGTTTCACATTGTGGTAGTTACGAGAAAAAGCTATCCGCGTTGAATGTATCCCTTACCAATGGGCTATCAAGCGAATGAGGACGTATCAGCTAAGTATACTACTCAAAGCAGGTCGTAAACCTGAAGGTCTGGATTGGGGAACTAAGAAATATGGATCGCCCCGAACATCTATCATGAAAATAACGATAGGGCAACAAGAGGGTAGTAACGCTGCTTCAGTGGAAAAAGTGGTTGAGTGGTGGTGAACAATACATTACCCACAATGCTGTGCAAACGCCTTTGAACGCATTCGAGGCGGGAAATTTCGAGATAAACCACCGTAAGGGGAGTTAAGTACATTCTAGAGCTGTACATGTAGCCGACTATTTTTGCAGTTTTTTTTTTTTTTTTTTTTTTTTTTTTTAGCAATGGATCGTATATGTGAGTTCCAGTTGAAAAGTGGCACAAGCTTGAATCCTAATGAATGTTCAACGCCCACATATCACGAAGTTTTGGCGAATGGAAAAAAAAAACAAATAAAATATCCCTTTGTATCTCCATTGAAAACAAACGGCCGCAATAACATGTATTGTATACCCTCACTTAATTTTCATTAGCGTGTAATAAAATGAGATACTGTTCGATTATAATCCTGCGTGTTCCTTCGTTCCTTAGTCTGTTGGTTAATTAGTCCGTACGTCCCGCTTTGCCAGTACCTGAGATAAAAAATGGACTATTTCTGTTTGATTGCGAGAAGAGATGGAAAAAAAGATTTATCAAAAGCAATGTTTGGTTTGAACGAATGGAAGAGAAGAGAATTTCGGTGATGACGAGTTATCATTATTTACATTATTTAGATATGAACATCTGTCCTCATCTTGGTTGTGTTTATCACAACGTTTTGGCTATTGTGCTCTCTGGCCTTCATCAAGTGTTTTAGATCCATGCAACATACAGGGAATTTCTAACTGAAACCTTTATTTAATCCACGTGGATAGAACTATCTATCCATGTAGATTTAATAAAAATCTCAGTTCGAAATTCTTTATAGTCTACTTGGATCGACAAGCACCTGATTTAGGCTGAAGTGTACAACGGCCAAAACTGTGTAAAAACAACAAATATGATTCTGCATATAAATAATGTAAAAAAAATTAGAAAGAAAAGGAAGATAGATAAAGTGATAATACTCTCATGCGTTTAAAGCCTGCTTAAGTGAAATTGAAAACCTTGACAATTATTAATATTTTTAGTGTATCTTCTGTATTTCTTTAAGTAATGTCATGTATTCATATTTATGATTGTTATTTTAATAGTTTGTTAAAATTGTTAGATTCAAATATTGAACAGGGCAATATGGGATTTTCTGTTGGTATTTTATAGAACTCGCAAGGAACTCAATTGGTAACTGAAGATTAAGAATAAAATTCAAACAAAAAACTAGGGAAATTTTCATAGCTATTGCTAGTTTCTATATATTCTCGGGAACACTGTCAGTTATAATTAGAGACCGAGTTGAGAGAAATAGGAAAAAATCTGCCATTTCCTAAAAGCACTTTCTTTCTTCTTACCTTTTTCTTTTTTATTGTTTTTGTTTCACAGATCCCTGTCTTCTTTCATTCTCTCTATATATATATTAAAAATTAACTGATTTAAAATATATATATATATATTATAAATTAACTGATTTAAAATGTGGTTTTTTTCGCTACACAGTAATAACCATGTTTCAAAAATGGAAGCTAAAAGCTTCAAGTTTAATTTTGTAATTAAATTAAATTTGAAGACTTTAGCTTCCATTTTTGAAATATGATTATTAGTGTGTAGCAAATGAACCATATTTTAAATCAGTTAATTTATAATATTAATGCTCTGTAAATTTACATTGAGCACTATTTTGTAAAAATAAAAATATCAATAAGAACACCGGATTATATATCTTACAGTTCTTTCTTTATATATATATATATATAATCTGATGCGAATTTAATGTCTGATGCGAAATAATTTACAGAATAAAGAGAGTTAATTTTTTTGTGCATAAACACGCGATAAATATGGAAATGGTTGAAAATGTAGTTGATAAAAAAGCGTTGCTATTTGTCATATGAGCCATCAACAGCAATTATGTATTATCCCTAATCACGACCTTTATATTTGCACGGACAAGACGGGGTTATTTTAATGATCTTACCTTATCTGCTTAGCTTAACTCGCACATTTATAAAATACAGACTCACAGCCACATCATGTTCAGACACCGGTTCACGTGCGATCACCGCAGTTAATCAACGTCGAGTCTGGTCAGTAACTAGATGGATGACCACTTGGGAATACCAGTTGTTGTAAGCCTGAATGTGCGGATGTTGTAATGGATAATGGCTCGGAATTTGTAATTGGAGAGCCGAGTTCAACTTCACGTTAGTTTCATTATATTTACTTACGCACAAATACCCTAGGGAAGGGTTAGAAGGATTTCGTTGCAGCAACAGTTTATGTTATGTAAGCCTTTCTAGTTACCTTTGAAAAAAATCATAATTAACAGCTACTGATTTATTAAAACTAATTTCATCTTGATTTTTAGTATCACAACGTTTCGGCCATTTTATTTTCGGCTTTCTGCAAATGCACTTATACAGACCCCGAAGTGTGTCTATACACAAAAGGTTTGACGTTTCTTTTTCTACCGGTATTTGCAGATATGCGTCGCTGAGATCTATCTTCGAATATATTGTGCCTCCATTAAGCTTCGCAAATATTTCTTCCGCTGTTGGTAGAGGATAATTATAGTCTTTGAGTGCCGCGTTTATACCCGTGGAGAAATCAGCACACACACGAATTTCTTTAGACTTTTTTTTCACGTATACCGTCGGTGTTGCCCATTCACTATACTCAACTTTTTTAAGTACACCAGTTTTCTCTAATCTGTCCAATTCTTTATCTATCTGTTCAGTTGAGGCAAACGGCACATTCTTTTTATTTTTGAATACCGCCTGAGCTTTTTCTTTTAGCTGGAATTTTGCCTCCATCTTGGTACACGTTCCCAAACCTGGAGAAAAAACAGTAGGAAATGTTTCTTTAACTTTCTTTACGAATTTTTGGGCCTCGGTGTTTAAACTTTCTACCTTGTAACAGAAAGAATTTATCAGTAGATCCCATAATTGGAATTCTGTTATCCAATTCGTACGAAGTAAGTTCGTGGTATTTTCTACGACAAATAGTTTAGCTTTTCGCGTTTTTTTTATTTAACGTGACGTTTGTAACAAATTCCTCAATAAATTGTATTTTTTCTCCCGTTACTGACTTCGCGATTTTCTTTGTCTTCATTAAAGTTGGTTTCCCCAACTTCTTCCACGTATGCAAATTTATGATAGATAGATCTGAGCCTGTGTCAAGTTGTATTTTTATATTTTTATTACTTATTTCGACGGTAACAAATTTTCTGGTTATTCCATCTTTTACCTCGTTGGACTATAATTTTCTTATTTTTTTGTCTTTATTTTTTGACCTGCAATGTGTACTTTAATGACCCATTCATTTACAGTTGAAATATTTTTTATTCCTAAAATTGCAATATCTTTACCAGTGTAGTTCACCGCAAGCAAAACATGGTTTCGGAAGTTTTTGTTTATTTTTCTCTGGTATTTCACTTTTTGCTTGATAATCCACAATTTTAGAATTCTTTTTGGTCGACTGAATTTCTTCTTTGTAGCGTATTTTCCTTACATGCGAAACGCCAGACTGTTCTATCTTTTTTTAATCTTTCTTTACGCTAACATATCTTGTGCAGTTTTCTGCCAATTTCTGTACCGTAATACTTGAATCGCTTTCCAATTTTGCCAGTACTAATCTTCTCAACTCTGCGTCTCTTTCCGATACCAGCCCCTGAACAAACACCAAGCACTTAAAATTGTCTGCGCTTAACTCTGCCAGTTTGAATTCTTCACAATTCTTCACATTGGCTGCGCACGTTATGTAGTCTTGTTTGTCATCTTTCATCAGATTCAAACATTTCCACTTCTTGTGAAACAGAGATGTCTTTTTACTAAATAATTCCCTTAATATATTTACCGCCTCAGTAAATGTCAACTCGCTAGTTTTTTTTTTCGGTAAAATGTAGTTTACCAATTTGTTATGCTCAGCAGTTCCTAATTTGCTTAAAAGAAGCCTAACCTTCTTTCCTGCAGACCACGAGCGGCAGTCCTCGTTATACACGTCCGTATATTTTTTATAATGCTCCTCAAAAGTTACCTCTTCATCTAGACTGTTCGTGAATATTTCAGTTGAATTCCATATTGTATTCTCTGGGAAAGAATCATTTTGTAGATTTTTCTCTTTCCTCTTTTCAGTTATTTCCAGAATTTTGTTTTGAAACTCCCTATGCATCTGTTCCATTTTTTTTGTTGGAATTGCATTTGCATATTAAAGGTTTCCTCCTGTAGCTGCAACTGGAATGTTTTTTGTTGCTCTAATATTGTCATCTGTTGTTCCGACGGAAACTTAAAGAATTCCCGGAATATATTTTTGCATTACTCCATCTTCGCGAAAAGCTTACACAATACTTAAATACTGTAGAGTGGGGGGTCCTACGAATTTGCAATTCGTGACCTATTTGAGCAAACTGTATTATCAGGGAAAAAATTTCCTTCTCAGTTGATATATACGACAGATTTTTTCGTCACAAAGTTGACATCTTGGCTTGCAAAAAACTTTGCCAAGTTTTTTTTTTATTTTTATTTTTATTTTTTTGTTAGTGTGAATCCGAGATTTTGTCGCCGAAGTTATTATGGCGAGCGAATTTTTTCTTCCTCCGTATGAGTTCGAATCCCTCGTCGCCAAAGTTGTTGTGGAGTTATTTCGCAGTGGAGACTTGTATTTCCACTAAATCGGTCCTAAATAGTTCGACGTACAAAAAGTTAGGAACTTGATATAATAAGTATTACGCAGAGTAATCTTGTTGTGGTTGCTGACTACGTTCAAATTCGACTAATTATCGTCCGACATCGACTGACCTTCGTTGCTCTTACTACTCCTACTTATATTATGTGGGAGAGTCTATTACCTATAGAATAGGTGTTTTTCACCATAACAACTTCGTATTAAGTAACATATAGGACCAGAGTCTCATTATGCCGTAAGCGTCGCTGTGTGGTTTCAGCAGCAAGCTGGTTGGGATTTGGTACCTGTCCGTCAATCCGGTTTTATATTTAGACTTGTTGCAAAGCAAAACTAGAAAGATCTGTATGTACTGCTATTTACATCTAGACGAGTGGCGAGATAAGATAGACACAAACCTTTCCAAGGATCTTTATATTTAGAAATTAAAATGGACTATTTTTACATCAACAGCAATTATATGTTATCCTAAATCAGGACCTATGGCTATATACAAACATTTTATATGTTGCCTACATGTTTTTTTATCGATTCACCATTTCTGCGTAATTAACATTTAAAAAACAATTGTTTGCAAGTTTTTCTAACTTTAAACACAAATATTATAAATCTGTTTACGCATGTCCGTATAAATACTTATATTATTACTTTGTTTTAAATCAATTCAACCCAATCAAAGTGATAATGCCACTGACACGCAAGGAACAACTGGGAGTGAAAGAGAATAAAAAAGATTTTAGAAGGAAACGGAAAGCTAGTTCTAAACGGCATATAAGAGAATCAACTCTACTCCTTTTGAAAAGAAAAGAGAGGAGTGTTTATACTAAGATTCTGCGACACTTCAGGTAACTACAATGTGCGATTGGTAAATTGTCGCCATTTTATTTATTTTTTAAATTTTGTGCATGTGCGTTGTTTGTTCTTGCTTTTCCCGCCTGTACAATATAGTAGTGCCCTTTGGGAACCGTCTGTGAGTAAAAGAGTACCATGATGCAATTTACACCGGAAGCTTTAATATGAATATTTCAGAGTGTTTAAGTGTCGATCTGAGGACAGTGCAAAGAATTCAGGAAGAGCTGGATGAGTCTAATGCGTTTTACGAAGGTACGGCAGTACGGAAAACTCATCCTGATCGTTCTTATACGAAAAGAACTCACAAGGTTGTTGTTGAGGGCCTCCGACTCAAGAAGGAGTACTACATCAAGTGTCCTGAGGATGTAGTGCTTCCCTGGGTAAGAGGATGAATGCTTGAAGTTCCTGTGTTTAGCAACAAGACTGTATGCCATCAAGCAGTAGGACCCAGTTATGGCTGTCAGACAATTTCTGCAAACACACCACTCCATTATGATGTGCATGGAGCATTTGAGTGAGAGACAAAAAAAACTCCTTGTAACACCAAAGATGAACTGAAGACAAGGGTTATGCCATCATTCCCAACTTAAACAAGAAGACAGCCCAAAAGAGATACTGGGGATTCCGAAGTCGTCTGGAGGCCATGGTTAAGGCCAATGGCGATTTATTGAATGAATTTACTCTTTAATATTTCAAGAATTTTTTTGTGTAATTTTGATATATACCTATTAATGATCAACGTTTATTTCGTTTTTTAAGTTTTATGAACTGTTACATGCTTCTACAGTGGCGTCAACTACTTCAATACACCGAGAATGCATCTAAAAGGTGGATTCATTCTGCTACATGTGTAAGGACTTTATGACAGTTGATCAGCACCGAACAATTACCCCACTCCAAAATGCTTACCATCACTAGTTTGATTGTAAAAATGGAGATCAAGAAAAACCATGCGACCCATACATCTCTGGTAACCCCTATCAAAATGGAATAGTTTAATGATAAGAAAATAGCTTTCTTCTTTGCTGTCAAAATGATCCGGGGGAAACACAAAGGCGTTGGGATGATTGTTATTTTCGCCTCACAGATATAACTAATTATTGTGTTTCTTCCAGAAAAATATCCCAACTTCTGCTGAGACCTGTTTGAAACTCAGATGAAATATTTGTCCATATTTCCCCAGTAAATAATGATCTTTCTTCATCCGATGAGAAAAAGCCCTCAAAGGTGTATCCTGCGAAGTCGATGTCTTCGGACGAGAATGTCTCTGTTTATCCAGGAGTAAGTGGCAGTGAACCACTGGATCAACCAAGAAGACCTGAATGATCTTGTCCATGGTATCTATGCAGCAATTACAGCTTCTAGGCTCCAGGTTAAAGAAGTGGAACAAGGATCCGCAGATCCAATATACGGAACTGATTTTGTCCCATTTTTTACATGGAAAAGATGTTGGTCTACTGGGTAAAATATTGCGTTTTTCCACATCAACTGGCTTCTCACACATCTCTATCTATAAAAGGCAGGATGTGTGTGTGTGTGTGTGTGTGTGTGTGTGTGTGTGTGTGTGTGTGTGTGTGACGAATGCACCGCCACAATTTTTGA